AAAATAGAATGCGGCAATTTATTAATCCTGTACTTAGCAGTGAGCAATGTGTATACTTAACTGCTAGAGTTACTCCTGAAGAAATCAAAAGAGTCATGTTTCAAACTTTCAATTGAAGGATGGCAAAGCACCTGGACCTGATGGATATCTGGCTGAATTCTTCAAATTGAATTGGAATGTAGCTGGAAATGATGTGATCGATGCTATTCAATACTGTTTTACAAATTGTTTCATGGATTATCCGCTTAATAGTACTGTCCTCACGTTGGTGCCAAAAGTAGAAAATGCTATGCACATGAAGAACTTTAGGCCCATAGCGTGCTGCAATACACTTTATAAGTGCTATTCTGTCATCTTGATCAATAGGCTAAAGAAGGTTATTCCTGAAATTATCAGTAACACACAGAGTGCCTTTGTAAAAGGCAAACACATTCTTGATAATGTTCTCTTGATGCATGAGGTGGTGAGGGGTTATCACAGGAAAGATGGATCACCAAGAGCTGTCATAAAGATTGATACTATGAAAGCCTACAACCCCCTTAATTGGGATTTCCTATTTGCTGCTATGAAGCTATTGGGCTTACCTGCTGAATTCGTTGCTTTAGTGGATAATTGTGTGACCATGGTCTCCATTTCGCTTAACCTAAATGGATCAATGGTAGGATACTTCAGAAACGAAAGGGGAGTGAGACAGGGGGATCCTAAATCCCCATATCTGTTTCTAATTGCTATGGAGATATTCACAAAATTGCTGAATTGGAACATTGATAAGAATGGATTCGACTATCACCCAAGTGTCAAGAACTTAAATATCCCATTTATCTTTTGCTGATGACCTTTTTATACTTACTGCTGCTACAAGGAGATCATTTCAGTTGATTCAGAAAACATTGCATGAATTTGGGGAAATGTCCGGCCTCAAGCCAAATCTACACAAGTGTCATATATATATGGCTGGTGTGAATGAGGATATGCAGATCTAAATTTGCAACCTACTGCAGATGCCTTTAGGCTCACTCCCTGTTAGGTATTTGGGCTTGCCATTGATATCTAGACTGAGATTCATGGATAGTCGACCTATTTTCAATAAGACAGAACAAAGAATTCATAGTTGGGCCAGTAAAAAATTTCATATGGAGGCAGATTACAATTGATAAAATCTATATTAAGTGGGATTCAGGTTTTTTGGTCTAGTGCTTTTATTCTGCCCAAATCTGTCATCAAGAAGATTTGTAGTATGCTAACTTCCTTTTTATGGGTTGGTGAGATTAGAACTCATTATTGTGCAAAAGTTAAGTGGACTGATATATGTATGCCTAGGAAGAAGGGAGGGTTGGGGCTGTTTGATTTAGAACTTTGGAAAAATGTCTAATCATGAAGCAAATATGGCATATTTGCTGTAAAAAGGATACCCTTTGGGTTAAATGGGTTCATACCAACAACTTGAAAGGGTGTTCGTTTTGGGCAGCAAAGATTCCTGTTAATAGTTCTTGGGTATAGAGGAAAATATTGTTGTTAAGGGAAGAAGCTCAGCCTTTCGTTAGACATTGATTGGAAATGGTGCTGATACATATTTTTGGTACGATTACTGGCACCCTATGTGTCCTTCATATAAATATTTTTCTAAAAATTTGTTGCTCAACTTTGGACTTACAAAAGCTTCAAGAGTCTCTAGCTGTATTCAAGGGAGTATGTGGAAATGGCCCCAAGGGAGAAGAAGAACGGGGGAGATATGTAAACTAATACGGGAGACCCCGCATTTATTTTTGCCTAATACACATGTTGCTGATGAAGTATACTGGTATGGTAGTGCTTCCGGCCAATTTACAGTCCAGTTAGCAATGTCAAAACTTAAAAGAGTTTGTGGAGCTCCAGTGCCATAGTACAAGCTGGTATGGGGGAAAGGTACTGTACCACGTTATTCTTTCATTGCTTGGATGCTTTGTAGAGGAAGATTACCTACCAGAGACCGTTTAAAAGCCTGGGGAGTGGCTTTGGAGTCCGATCAGTGTGTCCTATGTAATAGTGCTGAGGAGTCCGTGAGGCATATTTTCTTTGATTGAACTCTATCCAACACAGTATGGGAGAAGCTACAGTACTTGTGTGCCATAGTTAAGAGCAGGTTACCTTGGGATGCTGAGTTAAAATGGTATTGTAATCATTGCAACTCAAACTCATTTATTGATCAAATCAGTAGGTTGGTGTTTTCAACTGCAATTTATTAGATATGGTGCGTAAGGAACCAAATCATATTTCAACGAAAATGTTTCTCTGCCGTGACCATTGTATCTATGGTCCTTGAATCAGTTAGGAATGCTGTTGTGAGTTGGAGAGGAGTCCCATTGACCAAAGCCAATTGGGAGCTAAGTATGGAGCTCGGATCATCTCATGTGTGTTTCCAGCAAGATTGAGTTTGTATTACTGTAATAGTGATAGGATTTATGTAAGTAGGAATTGTTTGATTCCTGTGTACTCGCTTATTTCTTGATCAATAAAGATTCATATTTGCCCAAAAAAAAATAAAATGTTAACACCGTGTTTTCAATTGGCACTAGACGATGCTGAGGATTATGCACTTTATATAATTTTATAGCAATTGAACTTAGTTACTAGTAGCTGAAAGTGCTCATTTACCTGCAAAATTCCAGCGTGATCTCCTTCAGCATGGTCTTCGCTTGGAACAGCCCAACTGCCAGGCCAATGGGTCCTTTTGGACCGTAACAGGTTCCACAAAATCCACCCCGCTTTCTCGTGTGCTTTAGTATTTTCATTTCCTCTCTAACATTAAAAGCATCTGATCTCCTCCTTATCGAATCATGCAATCCATTAATCCTTACTTTCAATTCATCGTATTCCCTTTTAACCTTTCTTCTATCCTTGACAAAATCAGATGTCTTCTTGTTCTTAGTTGGATGGCGCCTTGTATTGAAGTAGGATTCTGGGTTCCTAGGCTCGACGTCATGTTTCCTACAGAATGGAACCCACAAGTTGGCAAAGCTAACAGCCTCTGCCATTGCTTCAAAGGTGAGGAGTGCACTGGCATCATCTGAAACATGACAAGCAAGCTTCTCTACAGGATAATCAGCCCCCAGGATCGATAAATGGTATTTGCAGTGACTTGTGGTGGTTCTTTGTCCGGATTGATTGGTAGGTCAGAACGTCCAGTAGGGATTGGATGGCGATGCTAAATCAAATTTATCGCGTAGAACCTCAAGGTCTGTGGAGCGGTTGATAGGGAAAATCTTTGGAATTTGATCCAGAATGCAGGAAGTGAAAACCAAACCTCACATATGACTGAGGGTGTAGCCATAGCCACAGGGCATCCTTGTTTGGATGTCTCGAACTCCAGGCTAGGAAAACCACCAAAACCACTAACTAGAAGTAGATTTCTACGTTCCATTCGCAACTTTTCAGGTTTCAACTATCATTTGAAGAGATACAACTCTAGACATGTTTTTAACGGTTAATAACTGTATTGTATATACAGTTCATGTAATCTGCGGATTCTTCTCCATTTCCTGACATGTCCATGTTTTCCTTGGCGAGATTCACATAACTGCCACTTGCAAGTTTTCCTTGCAATTTCACAGTTTGACTGCTGGATAAGCTACAATTGCCTCGGCCATTATGAACTACCTTCTTAGATGGTTGGTTAGAGTTAGACTAGACAAGCTTTCCATGTTTGTTGAATCATAATATATAATTCAATCAAAATTTTTGAACTTATATCAACGCATGCATGCATGCATGCATGTACTGTCATTATCTAAACTGACAGATGTGTCTTCCTTCCCGTTTAGGGTAGTTCAGTATAACTTAGGAATTTTGAATTACCCATATTCTTGAACTAGCCTTTCTAGAGTTAGTTAACTGAAGACTTTGTTGCCTTTCTCCAATAAAGCTTTGCTTTTATTGGTTGACAATAGGAGAAACAGAAGAACAATAGAGAGATTTGCAGTGCCAACTGATAGATATTTGCTGTGCAAAAAGAAAGAACTTTTCAACACTTAGAGAAGAGATATAAGTAAATAATTGGAGAAGATTTCTCTATGCACTCAATGCTACCCGACATCGAAAGCGGCTATGCTAAATTGTACAGAAATCGATTTTCAAAGAGAGATGGGAAAGGAAACTAAAAATATTTACAAAGTAAATAACAGTGGAAAGGGCAGAACGCATGGTGAGGTAGAGAGACCAAATTGTAGAAGTATCTTTCTTTTGGCCCTGTCTTTACGAGTTTCTAAGATCATTATACAATCTTTTTCTCGTTGAATATTACAGATAGAAATTTTATCTAAACTATTTAGACCAAGAGTTAGGACATTATTTTAATAGGAGCATAAACTAAAAATCAAGTTCTATTTGTCCTTTCACATACCAAGTAATAGCAAATAGATGTTGACATATTTATAAATAAAAAATGATGGAAAAATCTCACTAATAATGATACAAGGCATCAAAGTATAAATTTTTACACCAAAAAAAAAAAAATTTCACTAGTGCTATTACTTGAGTAAAAAGAAAACAATGGTATAAATAGCTAAATTAAAATATGAGATAATTTCAAATTCAGTAAAAAGAAAACAAAGGTGCAATACGAGTGCTCTAACTCTTGAACAAGAACTCAAAGAAATAGGATAATCGATGGCAGAAGGAAAGTCGAAATGTAGGATATTCTATTGCCTTTGAAAGTGCTCTAGGAACATGTCCTTGGTGGTTAGTCTCGATCGCATGCATTCGCAAGTTAAGACTTTGAACCTGTAATGGATTACTCAATACTCCCTCCGTCCCAAAATTTGGGTCGCTTTTTGGGAAACACACTTTTTATGTACAGTAGCATAATGGGACACATTTATCTGATTATTCCAATCGTGCCCTTTGTTGTCCGTGGAGTAAAATAACAAGCTATTGGGTGTTGGGGACCACTGGCCATTAAGACATTTGACTAAAAGGCAGACAAGTTAAAGTAAAGCAAACATCCGTTTCCAACTCTAGCTATTCCTCTGTATACTTGGGTTTCATAAAATCAACAAGATCAGTTACAGAAGATTGACAATGGAAAAAGGTAAGATTTCTACAATTCCGTTTATCACTTTGTTGGTGCTTTTTTTTTATTTTCATTTTGTTTTATGATCTTTTGATCAATTTGAAGTAGATAATCTTGAGACTTAACATAATTTAGCTAATCTTTTATTTGGCGCCATTTGTTGTTTTTCCCTTTTTTTCTTGAAATTTGGCGGTTCATTGAAAATTTGTAGATGCATTTTTTTAAGCTTTTTGTTTCTCACGTTTCTTATAAATAGATTTTGGAAGCTGATAATTCTGATGCCTTTATTCTCTATATAATGAGATTATAGAGAGATTCGTCTATTGCACAAATTCTGTTTGATAATATTCCCCAGTGAACATGGATAATCATAGTTTTCAAAATTATGAAATCTCTAGGAAAAAGTTGACAAATCAGCAAAGGCAAGCCATATTTGAAGCATTATTGCAATATAGTTATGGTGGACAACTAGAAAGAGGATTAACCAAAGTTATTGCAACACAGTTCAAAATTAGCACGAGGACAGTACAAAGAATTTGGGAAAGAGCAAAGTCTTCAATCATTAATGGAGGCTCGGTTGACATCTCTCGCAGGTTTCCTAAGAGGGCAGGACGCAAAAGGTTAGAGATAGACTTCAGCACTATCATGGAAATACCTCTACGGTGTCGAACAAATATTCGTTCTCTATCAACCAAAATGAAAGTTGCCAAGTCCACTCTTCATCGACGAATAAAAGAAGGTGTTATCAAAGCACATTCAAATGCATTAAAGCCTCACCTTACTGATGACAATAAATTGGTAAGACTCAAATTTTGTTTGTCAATGCTTCAACAAGAGAGTCTTAATGATGCACCTATTTTCGAAAACATGTTCAATATGGTTCATATCGATGAAAAGTGGTTCTACATGACTAAGGAGTCTGAGAAATACTACCTACATCCTGAAGAAGAACACCCTATGAGGACTTGTAGGAGTAAAAAGTTTATTGTTAAGGTTATGTTTCTAGCTGCAGTTGCTCGACCTCGCTTTGATTGTTCTAGAAACAAGCACTTTGATGGGAAAATTGGAATATTTCCTTTTGCCTTCAAAGAACCAGCTAAAAGGAATAGCAAAAATCGTGTTGCTGGTACTCTAGAAACAAAGCCTATCCTATCAGTGACCAAGGAAGTGTATAGAAGGTGCTTAATTGATAATGTTTTGCCTGCAATTCGTGCTAAATGGCCACAAAGTGATGTTATCAGCCCTATCTTCATCCAACAAGATAATGCAAAACCACATATTGATCCAATGGATGTTGAGTTCATAGAAGCTGCCACAAGAGAAGGTTTTGATATTCGTTTATCATTTCAACCACCTAATAGCCCTGATATGAATGTTCTTGATCTTGGGTATTTTAGAGCCATTCAATCACTCCAGCATCAAGAAGCACCTAACTCTATTGACGAACTAATTTCTGCTGTTGAAAAGTCTTTCGATGAATTATCATCTGAAAGTCTCAACAATGTGTTCTTAACCTTACAACTATGTATGCTTGAGGTGATGAAGAATTGTGGAGGGAATAATTACAAAGTTCCACATATTGGGAAGCAACGGTTGATAAGAGATGGAAATCTTCCTTTGCAAATTGGATGTGATAAGGAGCTTATTGACAAAATCATCCATTATCTACAAGCATGAATGTACTGGTATTGGTTAGAATTTCCATATTATTTAAACTTTGCTAACTTCTAAATTATGATAAAGGTAGTGATAATGCTATCTAACTTATGATTGATTTCTTTTTCTCTATTTTGTTTTGAAGGTATATCAAGTCATGGATCAAGTTTCTGGACTTGGATTATGCTAACGCTTTTTGTGCAGAACAAGGGACTTGACTTTTGCTAGACTTTTGCTATTAATGCTTTTGTACAAAACAGGAGACTTGACTTTTGCTAGACTTTTGCTACTAATGCTTTTGTACAAAACAGGGGACTTGACTTTTGCTAGACTTTTGCTACTAATGCTTTTGTACGACTTGGCTTTTGCTAGACTTTGCTACTAATGCTTTTGTGCAAAACAGGGGGCTTGACTTTTGGTCCTAAGTTATTTTTGAGGGTTGCTTATAAGATTTGGTTGTCACTCGAATCTATTTTAGGGGCATAGATTTTGTATTTTGTTGATTTGTATAGACAACCATGAACTCTTGGAAGCAATGAGCAGTAAATGTTATTTTAGTCTTGGTGCTTTCAAATTAATGCCTTGCTTGGATGTTTAGGATTTCAACGTAATACGCACTAGTTGATCATTTTATTTTTTCTTTGATATTTTTTTCACTCTATTTATTTGTTAGTTTGATACTAGAGGCAAATTTAAGAGCAAGAACACAAGTTATAGGACAAATTTTACCTTTTCTTTTTTCACCTTTACATTAAAAAAATTAAATAGTGATAAACAAAAGGGTAAGGAATGCATCTAGCATTCTTTATTTGTTTATCCAAAAAAAAAACTTGATTTGTATTATTGTAAGAAATTTGTTCTTTTGTTAAAAAAAAAAAGATAGAAAGACAAGAAACGAAACTTTCATTGCATCTGCAAACACTTGTGTAGCTTGAAAAGAGTAAAGAAAAGAAAAAAATGAAAAACAAGGAAAAAAAAGAAAAAAGGAAAAAAAAAACAAAGATTTGAAGTGCAAGAAAAGAAATGGAAATGAAAAACACAAAAAAAAAGCAAGGAAAAAGAAGAAAAAAGAAATAACAAAGATTTGAAGTCCAAGAAAAGTAACGGAAATAAAAAGAAACGCAAGGAGCTAAATGTGTTATGGCAGGGCCCATCATAATTGTTTAGTGCAATTTTGACTTTTCAATAGAAGGGTATAATTGGAAAGTAATTTTAAAAGTAGTTTGACTTTTTTAAAGTGACTCAAATTTTGGGACAAGTAAAAAGTGGAAATATGACATTAACAATGGGACGGAGGGAGTATATTACAGAGTAGGAAGGAAGAACGAAAATAGAATTCACTATTTAACTGAAAATTCAAGTCCTCTATTTATAGGAACATAAGGATATAGATGCATGTACCATTAGAATTACAAGTACATGAATTTAGTTCCATAAATTTCAAGACGTACATGAATATAGTAATGAATCTAGGAGGGAAGTGAATGCAACCCTAGGGGAAAAATGAATGGACATTCGAAAACACTTAAATTTGAGGCACAATTTCCAACATTATTACCCTAGGAGTTTTCTCAAGACATTCAGATGCTATATAACCTTTTTCATTGCTAAAATAACAAGTACAATTTATCCTAAGGTTATTCCTAAAAAATTTTCTTCCTAACATATTTCTTTGTTTGGTACAAAAATGCTTCTTTTTTCCCTTTTTCTAAACCTAAGGTGCCCTTTTTTTTTTGGGTAGGGGCTTCATGAATCATATCCTATTTCCTAAGATTCATAAAGAACTTTGTCACAATTTTTTTTAAATGGTCCGCATATTGTCATTCATAAATTTCTCTCCATGGCAAAGGTAGTTTATGAAAAATTTGTTCTGCCCAATGAGCCATGAGTTGTGACCTTAATTGCCATAAATACTTCTAATAGAATTTTACAAAATCAATGTATTTATTGACGTCACATATTTTGCTTTTATTTTAGGCTAATTTTATTTATTCATAATGCTTTTCAATTGAAATAGCACCTCCAAATCCTTCTCTTATTTAACTAGCGAATTCTGTCAAAGATAGTTTTAGAATCATTATTTTACTATGATTTTAGCCTTTTTTGACTGTCAAGCTAATCTGTATTTTTCTCCCAAACTCTTAACCAATTTAAAACATCTCCTTGTACAATTCCACTTATGTAATCTAAAAATTTTTCTTGTGACCAATCATTTTTGGACAAAAAACTTGAGCGACAGCTAAACTATTGGTCTAGTCAAGTTTTGGCCTTTCAAACAAATTTTCTTCACAAGTTGACCGCTAAACTAACTAACCGGTGCACTTGTGAACATTGCGTCGATTAATGCTCTTAATCTTTGAAATATGCACAACATGTGGCAAAGTGCAAGAGTAGTTTTGTCTACCACTTGTGCGATTAAAAGCAAAAGTATGCCACGGATAAGCAAAATCTATTTCTGGTTATCAGCAACTCAATGCATTGTGGAAAGAATATAGTAAAAAACAAACAAACAACCCAATATTTTTTTCACAGATAAAGAAGCAGGACATTGACATGCTCATTCGCTTAAAATTTTGCAAAATTTACACAGCGAAGCCTATCAAGAGCCGAAAAATGGAAAGAGACTCGCCTAAGTTTTCCACTACTATTAAAATAATAACCTCAATGAAGGTAGATAGGGGGAAAAAAATGAAGAAGGCCTTTTCTCAGCTAGAGACTACGACTTTCAGACTGCAAATATCCCATTCTGTGTACTTTTGTCATATACCTGCCTGACACACGATTAGCCTCGACAACTTGCATCCCAAAAGTTCATGGTTTCATTGCTAGCTTGATGTAGTGAGAAGAGAACTTCCCAACGCATTGCCATTTTCATGAAAGCTCTTAAAGATGGGCTGAAAAGCAAACATCGAAATTTTATCGAGCTTTCATAGACATTCCAAATGAAGATGCTATGGAACAAATAAAGTTGCAGTATTTCATTGGCTAACGTATTTATCAACAATTTCACATCCAACCAACATATACGAGCTAAATTAACTGAAACACAAGTAACTCGCAACTATAAAAAACTGATTATTCTCAATTTGCAACTGAAAAGAATTCTACTATTTCTGACTCAAGTTCTAAGACATGGAAACACAGAGAATCCATTAATCATGAAATTCTAGGGTTTCTGAGATTGATATAGTTTTAGTCTAAAGTGAGAGTTCCATCTATGGTTAAAAAGGCCAAGATGTGAATGTTAGCATCAGTTGGCTGTATGAAGATTGACAACAAAAGAATAAATAAAAAATGGACACGGAGCAACACTTAGTTAAACGTTAGGTTGAAGTTTCTAAGTCACAGAGTCGGTTCATTTAGACAAAGTTTCAACAGCTAAAAAATATGTATGCCCAAAATTCCATACATCACAATAGTTCGACAACATGATATTGAAGCTGGAAATTGCCTCGAAGAATGATAAGAATATAAGGACTATAAGAATAATCTACAAACTAGAATCTTCTCCTGCATTGTTTGCCTATACGAGTAAAGTAAGAAGTCGGAGGCATTTAACACATGCATAATTGAGTTACTTCCTCTAAGAATGATGTCTTGAAGAACAGTCATGTATATCAACAAAAGACAGCAGCTAACTTCAATATCTAATTTTAACATGAAAAATGACACAAAACCTTCCGCCATCGATCTCAACTTGTTAGTCATTAGATAATATGGAAAAAATATTTGTTACATTTCACAAGGCATCTACTACTCTACCATGACATTCAGAAATGTGCCATGCTCATAAGGACACAAACAAGAACGGGAGAATGTGCACTATCAATGGCAAGGACAAGCAAAACCCTGGCCTATGGCCTGGCAAGGGTGGCTTGTCAACCCATGTTTGTTCGATAATATTCACTCCAGTAAACCCACAACATAATGGAAAAATTTTACCTCTTCTCCACTTGCACTTGAAAGTGAAAATGGTTCTTCTTCCCGAATCCCACCATTGTCCTCAAAAATTCTCTCCAAATCCTGGTAAGATATAGATAAGTCAAACAGTGTTAGAGAGAGAAAAAGATTTTAATTACAAAATCAAGTAGCTCCAGGAAACCTAAACAGGTCACTGAAGCAAACTAGTCCCTCTATCAGGATATTTTGGTCAGAGTTGGGGAAGCCCTCTCTCAGCAGTCCGAAGAGGTTGGTTTCAAATTTCATCCTCAATTGTCATTACATTGATTGATCTGTTCTGCTTGAATGGTGTGATTTTTGGGCGTTTGTCTAGCTCACTGTAGTTGTTTAGGTAAATACTGGTAGTTGTCCAAAACACCCCAATAACACCCTAAAGAGCACCCAATCAGGCCAAAAAGAGGCCATCCAAACAGACTCCCCCTATGTGATTTGAAAACTCAAAAATTCACGTTGCAGCTTACTCTAGTGGAACCATATGTAAATGTCCCAACATAGTCTTGGTCCACATGTAAATTTAAAAAGAAAAAGGGGGGGGGGTGTGTTTGTGGGGGACATTAGCAACAACATAATCTGCAGACTGTATGAAAAACTCACACTTCAGAAGTGACCCAAATTATTGGACATTCTACAATGACCTTGTTGCTGAAATACAAAACCACAATGTTTTCTACCCAGAACAATGAGCTTCCAATACAAAAATCACTTCTCATATCACAGACCCAAAGATAAGTTATCAAAACTCAAAATTATGCCTTAATTATTATCAGTGATTTCCGTACCACCATGTTGACAAGCATGTCATAGTTGTGCAATGAGATATCAAGTATACAACCACACAGAGAGACATGCATATATGCATACAACATATGTTATACACACGAGGCACAGACACAAACACACATACATCATAAAACCATACGCAAGTAGGTATTTCTTCATACAAAAATATGCATACTCAAAAAATTCAATAGCTACAGGAGAAACAAAAAAGATTTAGTAGCCCCTGAAGTATTCAATTGCTATCAGGCATACTTGGTGCCTTAAAAAAATTAAGAACAGTATAACTGAAGTAGCAGATTGTACCATTAACCAATTTGAAGGCCTCATTTTAGGGCACCAAATACTTAAAGAATATATAAGCTCCACTATACAGGTCTAGAATATCTGCATTTCTTTGTTGTTTAGGAGGTTGATGAACACATATAGTCTTCAGATAGGAAACAGCAGACACAAAACAGCAGTTTAAACATTTCCAAAATCAGATTGGCACTATACAGGTCTAGGATATCTGCATTTCTTTGTTGTTTAGGAGGTTGATGAACACATGTAGCCTTCAGATAGGAAACAACAGACACAAAACAGCAGTTTAAACATTTCCAAAATCAGATTGGCACAATCACATTCAGGCCAAGATATGTCAACCAAAATAAAATGCAAATTGGACTTGGGTCTCATTCAGGTGAGCTGATACATATGCATTCACTTAAAATTTTGAACAAGATCCATATCTACACATGGCAGCTTGGTCTAGGCATGAAAACTGACAAGCATAAACATAAAGCAAGTCAGTCAGAAACGAAATGACCACCATAAGAGTAGGAACCTCATGAACAACAAAACAGGTATATCTAACAGCTTCATCAAGCACATTCGATCATGAATACAGCATAAGGATTTTTAACCTTATTGAGTGGCACTAACTAGCCCATGGTTGTAGGTTTCAACATGCATGCATAAAAATGAAAGGAAAGAACCTGCTCACATGCTCACAAACAAGTGCTAGAAGGTAACAGACTACCAAATGGTTCCTAACAATTTCTTAAAGCAGATTTTCTAAGACATACAAAAGGATAATGTAATTGTATACCTAAAATCGATGTTCGCAAGCAAATAACCAGGTACCTTACCTTTCCAGTCAAGATCTCATATTCAAGCAATTCCTCCACAATTTTCTCCATCACTTTGCGATTTTTTTGTAGCACTGATTTTGCTTTGTCATATGCTAAGTAATAGATCTGCAAAAAAAAAAATACAGTGTCTCCCTCCAATGATATCAGGCATGACAAAAGGAAAAAAGGGAACTTAACAA